ACATCGAGAGGCATGCGGCGCAGCGCAGCACGCGTTGCATTTTTGTATAATCCGCAGGGCATATTAAGTCACTCGATTTAATATTTTTAAGTGGAGCAACTTAATTTATACATTGCGAGCATCGATAATACTAATACGCGCGCGCTTACATCATCAGACGTTTAATATAAGAAGCAATATTTGTCTGTATATTCTACAGAATAGACGATGACCTTGACCTTGAACATGTATGTCGATTGTGTAGACAGGTATTTTTAATTTTTGTGAAAAATGTAGGTAGAACTATTTTGTCTTTCGGCAGACTCTGCTTCTGCTCAGAAGAAATTTTCTGCTCCAGAAAACTTTCTGGAACCAGTTTTTGTAATTATAAAAAGGCCACAGTGCAAACTGTGGTTGAAAGAAAATTATTTTGTTTTTTAGCAGGTATCAATTTAAGTCATGCCCAAACTTATATTGTGTAAATTCTCCATTGCGGAAGATCATTTCAATTTTGGAAACTTTTGTGAAACGATCATAAACTCTTTATTTGAATATTCACCAATATCCAGCAACAGGAATTAAGTCAACATGACATTAGTCTTCGAGTATATAAAATAATAAATAAATAATATGAAACAGACCTCTTCAACCTGAAATGGCGACTTCTTAGAAATAGCGATTTTTGATTTTTGCCTAAACTATACCAAATGTTTATTTCCCGGGTTCATTCTATGCGAATTATTTTGAATTGAAATGCAAATTTTGGAAATGAAAATACATATCTGCGTCGGTTGTTGATTAATCGAACTTGCTGTTGGCTTCATCAGAGCTTAGCCGAAACTGCTGTTGGCTGAAGAAGCCAAAGAAACTGCGTAAGGTCAACCAATTCGATTTATCAACAACGGATGCAAAAGGAATTCATAATATTTGTAAATAGTAATAGCCTGTGAGAGTTTCTTTGAAAAAAATTATCCTGCGACTTTTGATGTCTTTTAATGCCCGTTTTACAGATCATTTTTTCAACTGTTTCTCCTTTATTTATGAAAAACATATACATGCCTAAATTTTATAAAACCGTAATTTCGTTTATTTGAACATTTTACTGGTTTACTGTCTCTGAAGTGTCAAAAACAACGTCTACCCAGTAAATACAATACAATTTCATTTTAAAATTTTTAAAGAAATCAAAAAGAGCGGGAATTTGTTTTTTAATTTAATTTAAACTTTAACAATCATTGTAAAATAAGAAAAATATTTTTTTTAGAATATTATTTACAAAAAAAAAGCAGTGTCTGGTTTATCGCCCTTTATTTCCAGTAAAATTTTCGTCTCGTATATTTTCTGAGACAAGGTAGCGGCCCCTGATAAACGGGCCACCCTATACAACCATCTAAATTATCAAATTGGTGCCTCGTTAGTTTATCAGCTCTTCGCGGATTCATAAAGTGAAAGTATGTTAGCTTCTACGCCCGTCTTTCGAACTTTTAAATTGGGTAAATATGTTTATTGCGCCGATGTTTTGTTGCTGGGTAATAATAATAAAGACAAGTGCTCTTGATGGATTTCGTAATGCCGTTTTTTGTATGCTTAGAGGTTTGAAATTACGCTATTCGCACATGCATTAACGTTGTTGTCGCAACGGTATATCGCGAGTTGCCAACCATTAATATAATTATTGCCCATAGCAAATGGTTTTGGTATTTATTACTTTGACACTTCGGGTAAGTTCTCTATATAACAGGATCATCCCATCCAGCCACCACAATCTTTTTTTTTCTACTTCCTATTCTAAATATCCAATTATGCAGCGATGAGGTGTAAGCTTTTATCCGCCACTTTTGACATTTCTGGTACTTTCGCCACAGGTGTACCCAAAAAGTATAGATCGTGGAAAGAAACACATTCCTAATCTTTTTCAGGAACTCTATTGGTGTATGACTTTTTATTATTTTCTACTATTCATTAGCACTTAGAAATGCATCAGTTTTTTTGTTTGAAGCGTCTGAATGTCTTGAACCGTACAAAGCATTACCCTGAAAACCTTGTAACGTTTGATTCATTGATTTGATTTTGATTCACGTTATCTCTCAGGAACTAATAGTCATAAGGAAATAAACAACGACAATAAAACACTACTGTCATTCTTATAATAATTAATTCTTGCATTAATCACAGCAACAACAATGATAATAATTTAGTTTTCAACGGTTTCAGCTCTTTATTGGTAGGCTATTTTTATTTACATTTTATTTTAATTGATCGGACCCCAAGGATATCGAGGTGGTTGCTTTAGCGTTTTTTTCTACAATTTTAATAATACAAATCGGACATAGGATCGTTGCTAGTCATTACGATTGCGATGTGAAATGGATATTTGTTAATTTCTTTAACAACATTTATCTTGTTAAAGTTTATTATGGCAAAAATAAGGGTGTTCAGAAATTATTGCGCCAAATTTTTATGGGTATTCTACGTCGAACATTAGCCCCAGTGTCTTATATAAACATATGTCTGGAAACACTGTTTTTTGCATTTGCACTTGCATTTTGCACACTCATTGGAAATGAAATTATTTTTAAAGAAAAAATGATGCACCAAAATTATGATTAAAATTAAAACAAAAAAAATTAAACTTTGGGTTTTTAGTGTTTATCATTTTTATTATTATTTCTTAGGAAAAAAGTCAGGAGATCATATTCGTTAAAAATTGAATAAAGATTTGGCAATTAATAATTATTTTAGAAAAAAATGGTTATGGTCAATAGTTTATTTTTAAAATAATTATTTCACATCAAAAAATGTGTTTCGCTGCTTGATAATATATAAGATAATATATAATAAATAAGATCTTTTTGTTCAACAAACATGTGATCGTAAACGCTTCGTGACCGACCCGCAGAATTGAATATTTTCTGAACAAAACAGAAAGCAAATTTTGTATTTTAGAATGCATTAGTGACTTACCACAGAAAGTTTAAGTGAGAAAGAACAGATTAAAAATATTTTTCCGTGTCACGGAAGCTAAGCTTTAATTTGATCTAAACGCCTTAAAAGCTGCAAAGAAAAAACTCAAAAAAACACTCTGTAGATGTGCGACGAAACGTTTGTGGATACATGCTTTAAGAAAAAAGAAACGTATTATTTGAAAGAAAAATTATACCCCTAAAATCTTGTTGCTGAACTTTGAAAAACCCATACAGGGTGTATCACGTTATTTTAGAGGAATTTTGAAAATAACTTGTATTCTCAGTCTTTTACTGTCTTTTTTGAGACTCCTTACTACTACGAAAAAAACGTTTTGCTGCAAAAAATGTCCTTTAATGATAAAAAAATGTGTGTGAAATATAATTTAAAACAATTCTTTTTTTAACTTTAACAGAGTTTATCGACAAAAACCTGTCTAACGTGTACAAATACGTTTGACTATTATTCTTTTCAACTGAATTTATTGAAAGTAGATGTTCCGTTGCACGAAACGATGGTCCACATTTTGGTTGGTTAGTTTTTCCTTGAAAATTCTGGAACATTTTTAATTTAAACTTCGAAACTAGATCTTCTGTGTTAAATTGCATTAATAAAATATTAGGATATAATTTAGGATAAGTTATTAACAGATCTAGTTCTGATAAAGAAAAACTGTTTGTGGTCTCAGATTGGATGACGATACTTTTTTAAAATTGAATTCGTTCTTTTAAATTAATTGCTATAAATATGTGACCGTTTAAAACACGTGTTTGAAGACGAACATTTATATTTTATTTATCACCATTTGGGGCTTTGAACTTATTTACTTTGAAATCAAGCTTCCTTAAAAGGATTCCGAAATTACTCGGTGTAATTAAACCAGATGTTGAACTTAAATGTCGCCGTGTCGTAGAATCCTGTCATTTATCAAAAATTTTGTACACAATACTCAGTATTGCGTACGAAAGAGCGTTAATCACTGAATACTGCGCAATTTAATGTAATCGCGTCCATTAAAATGCAATCAAAATTGTTTTATCGTAACAGATTACGTTTAATGAAACTATGCAGCGGACACAAGAATTTAAAATTTAAAATTACTTTGAAGAAAACTGATACCTAGAGAAATATCATTTTTGTTTAGGTTAGTTTTGAGATGCTATAAAAAATATGAAACATATTAATTTAAAAACGCTGTCACTGTATAATAAAGTAGTTGCTGAATGTTTAAACTTGGAACTCTCTAAATATTCTTTTGGCACCTAATTCCTCTATGAATTTTTTATTCCGCGACTAAATAACATTATTTGTGCGCAGAAGATAAGCGTTAAAATATGCTAGAACATGTATTACGTTGTCTTTATTAAACATTACATAATTAATGAAATCACATTTTAATAGTCCAAACTTCTTGTTCATTGATTCTAAATCAAAATTCGTTGAATTTTTGTATATTCTTGCTAAAATTTGACCGTATTGTCCATGAAAAATTCATCAAGTATATATTTCCCCCATTAAATGCTTGTGACCACTTTCACGGTATAGGTATGAATAATAACAATTTCATATCCACCTAAGGCAAATATGCCAAATAATAAAATTCATGATGATAACATATATTTGAAAAAATGAAACTTTCATTATCTTGTCTATATAAAACTGTTGCACGGAACCTCCCTAAACTTTAGCTAAAATTAAACAAAAATATAGAAACAAAAAATATGGAAAATACTTAATTGATCGATAACCACTCCAGAAAGGTATAGGGATGTATTACACGGAAATAACAAGAAATTGAAAATTCAATAATATACAGGGTCTCTGATTTAAAACATCAAAGTTGATTAGAACGGTCCTAAGTCTTGTTCACTATAAATTGCTTATCTGTGATTCCCTGTCAATCGTCCTATATAATTTATTTTGGTCTATAATAATTTGGATCCAAAATCATGTACCACAAAAATTTAACTTCTGATTGCCAGTTTGGATTAAATATTTGTTTATAAAATTTAGGTCAAAACCAATTGAAAATTGCCAAAGTAATTTATTACACTCACCGAAACAGGCAGCAATAGCAACTATAACGTAGGCCCTGATCCCGGTCATGCTGTCGTCGTGTTTAATGCTCACTATACGAACTCACTAGAAACACTGCCAAGTCCTGCTTGAAAACCTTTCACTTTAAATCTCGCACATTTGATTGAAACGTCGACGTACTGTTACGAACGCGACCAAGAAGACCGGTTGTACCCCACTGCCCCCATCTTGATTCGATAGTGAAATGAGTTGAAAAGCTATAATCTTTTTATTCGAAGGCAAATGTTTTTTTCACCAATGCAAGATTTTATGGCTAAAGTATATCGCTTGAAGTGGCAATGGCGTTGTTATATTAAGAAAGAGAATAATATATCTTATTATTGAGATAATAATCCCAGTTTCAAGTTTTAAACTGGTAATCTAAATGAGCCCCATTTTATGTGTAAGCGCTTTATTTTTGGTTCTAATAATAAATAACAGATTAAGATTTAAAAAAAATAAAAGCTAGAGGTACAAAATTATCCAATGTTTTTCAAATAGCCAGAAAAAATACGCAAAAGAAATTGCCGCTTTATCATTTTGTCACTCTACAAAATAGAAAATATCGTTGTTGTGAGTTGGGTGATTTTTAAAATGTCCACTTTAGTTTTTTTTTTCGTGAAAGCCATTTCATTTTTTCTAAAGAATTTTTACTTTCATCTGTTATTTAAAAATTGTAACTTTGTAATATTTTGCTAAGGAATACAAATTAATGTGTACAGCGTGTTTAAAGTTGATCGGAAACTCCCCTTTTTCCACCCGGAAATTTTGAGTTTGTTACCCACAAATATATCACGTGATAATCGCTCAGGTACGCGGCATGTGATTATTTATGATCTATTTTTGGTTAGTTTAGTGCCTCGAAAATGCTAAAATTTGACGTTTTCCTTGGACACTCTAGATTCCCGGATTTAAAGAAAGTTCCAAAGTAAAGAAATGATCGTTTGGCGCCCTCACTGCTCCGCGGCGTATGCCTTTTTGTATCCTGCTGACTATGACGATTCTTAGGGACATTTATTTTTATTGACGGATATATTGTATTTTTCAATTTCTCGGAAAATTCTAAATATATTTCATGTATCCACTCTTATAGGTGAAATTTGCCTTTTTTTGAGACTTCCAGATCGAAGAAAAAAAACCGTTAGAATTTCAATTAAATAACTTAGAAAAAAATGTGTTTAAAAAGTTAGTAATTTCGATAAATGTTGATTCAGGCTGATGCTAAAAATTATTTAAATATGATTAAAATCAGTAATTTTTGTAATCTGATCTTATTTCTAACTAAAACTTTGTTTAAAGTTTTCGAAATATTGAAAATTTATTTTTCTTGTTAAAATAATCCTGATATCTCGTATGTTGACTTATATAAAGTTAACAATGACATCGTTGAAAAACATGGGTCACAGATATATGTGTTGCGATCAGTCAGTAAATTGTTGTCAATCACCGTGCTTAAATTATACTAAGGAAAATTACTTCAATTTGTTTATTAAAACCGAAACATAACCATTTTTACTTTGTTCGTTGCTGTTATTTTTAATTATTATAATGTAACATATTTAATTATTATAATAACCATACAGGCCCGCTTAAATTATACGTAGCACTATTACAAACAAAAAGTGGGAACTGTATGCTATTTTTGTAGAAATTGTTCCTGAAAAAGTTGTAAAGTGTAAAAATAGGTAGTTTTTATTCGAAAAAGATAGTTTTACTTTAATTGTAATATTTTCGTAACTTACAAAAGTTTTTTCTTCTTCAATTTTCTGCCAACGAAACTAATACCTAAAATCAGTAAATTTAACACATATTTTCTATATAATAGCCATCTCAAAAGTAGAAAATAGATGTTTTTCAATATGTGCAAATTTCTTTTTTTTTCAGAATTTTATTTTATTTTAATATTTACATATTTATTTAGTTCATTAACTTTTCTATAATAAACATTTACTAAAATTTGTTGGAAAAAGGGCAGTCCGGGTTTAATTAAAACGTTGAAAACAAAAAAATGAATTTTCCGCCCTTGTCTATTGAACCGTGATTTTTGCATATGCCGAAATATTACGCTGTGGTAAAAATTCGCGCGCCAAGTAAAATTATTTACTATTAATATTTAAAAGTACGGCACGCGGATTAATTTTCCGGGTTCATTAGCGACGAACCGATGCATAAAATATTTCGGTTTGCGGCAAATTACTCTTGCATGGATACCTAGATTATACAGTCTGAATCGAATCTACGCTGCAATTTTTAACGATTCGTTTCGTTTAAAGTATGTTCTTGCCCTTTTTTCGAACCTTAATTATTTTCTTGTAACGTACAAAATGTACGACACTTTTGCTGGATGTCTCACTTAACTTTAAATATTGAAATATGCGGTTTAAGAGTGAATAGTTTCTGTGAGATGAAAGATCGCACAAATGAAATCCATATCCATGTTAATGTTATAAAAATTAAAACACAAACTGTGAGGGGTGATGAATCACACTAAGCAAAATAGTTCATATAAACATCCGATCTGGATCAGCATCGGAACTATACGTGGTCAGAGTTTATTTATTTTTTCTATTAATTGAAATGTCTCATTCAAATTGAAGTTTGGTCAGTTAATAATTAAGTTCTAGGTCATCATTTAGGCATTTTTAAGATTTAAATCTTGAGACTGAATTTTGAAACACCCTTTTTGCATAGAATTCAGTGGCAGCTTCAGAATAAGTACAAAAAGTTAGATCAAAAAGCTATCGCACTCTACTTTATGTTTTGAAATGGAACTCGCCTGCCGCTATGTTTTATTTTGGATATATATAATTATTTTTGGATTTTTGAATCGACTTAAAATCGTTCGGGTTGGGCAAGCGCGATGGTGAAGTCACTCTGCGCCAAACTTGATGGAACTATTTAATTCGTTGGAAATAACGAAGTCACAACCTCTCTACTATTCCCACTATACACACTACTAATAACTTATATAACTTCTCTATTTTTTTTAACACTGAGCCTGGTCGCTATGTGGGTGGAACATTCGAGCCGTCTTCTAGAGAAGCAGCATGATTTCGTTCTGATCTCCTCCAACCCGCGAGTTCTTGAAACACAGACGGGGTTGGCCGATAGCCGAGCTCAGCCCATTTGGCTATCTTGTTACATCATTTTAAAAGACAACCTCAAAACTTGACGTTCTCAATAATTTAATATATTTTTAAATTGATAAATAGTTAGCTTGTCAATATGCCAGAATCATATATGTATGATGTAGTGTTCTTATGTATTGCTTATATCGAAGCTGTTCTTAAACCTGTTAAGCCTGTTTGCTATATTTTGGATATTCATCAAATTTATAATTTTGCGCAGAACATGAAAATAGAATAATTTACACGGTGATCCATTTAAAATTTCAATGTTTTTATGACTTGTATGTAGATCTGGCAAACACTGCAACGGTGAGAATATTTTTAAAATGGTTAACCAGCCTCCTACGACGGCGGCCAGCATTTGATGACCATATCCCTCTGTTGTCTAGATACAATGGCATTATGCTGTTGTGTTATTATTATCGATATGAAATAAATTGCATGTTTTTCATATTTTGGAATGGTCAAAGTTATACTGCTATTACTAATTATCAAAAATTGGTGAGGAGGTTATTTCTTCGTATTTACTAATATTTCTCCAATGTCCTCGGTGTTTAAAAGGTCATCAATATGGCAGTTTTCGCTGATTTTTTTAGATTTTATTCGAAATAGGCAAGATCGTAATTTGATAATTACCAGTCCGCAGTTGTTTTCTTTGTTATCCGAGAGGACGATGACGATTTATAAAAGCGACACACTGTTCGACAACAGAGGGAGCAGATGGTAGCGGTGTTGGGCAATTTGGGTGCAGCTTTTAGTGACTTAAGTGTAAGTTTAATTTTTTCGCGAAAAACCTAACTCCTAATTGGCGTCTAGGGATGACGTAAACAAGGAAAGAGTGAAAAAGTGGTCATAAGTTAAAGGGTGCCGATTGGCAGCGGGAATTGGAGGAACAAGATTTGGAGACGACGACTTGGCGCACATTTGGAAACAGAAGGTAAAAATCCTATTTATTTGAAATGTAGTTTTCAGAATTGTGCCAGAAACTCGCAACGCAATTCTACGCGGATTTGCAGAATTACAGTCAATTCAAGGAGGAAGACAGCAGAATATTCTGTTTTCATCAAGTACAATAAGTAGAAATTTCCTCGTTTAAAGTCTTTGAGTGAAAATAAAGAACAGCAGGATATTTCGATGTCTAGTGATGTTTACTGATAATGCCCGAAATGCGTATGAAGTCACTTAAATTTGTTGGAAAAGATCTTGCACCAGTTCAAAACAACCCTGCGTTGACATTGGGAGGAGACTATCAACAACTGATAAAGAATTAGATAATGATAGCTAATCGAACTTTAAGCTAACTTTGGTCATTTAGACAAGAGTAGCAGAGGTAGATTGAAACTCGACAGACAGAAGCCTAATCGGCATCATTGAGCCTAACAGTACATGGGTTGCACCTTTCGTATTTATGGAGAAGAAATATTGTCCTACTCGTGTCAACTATCTTCGATTCAACAATTTGACGCCGAAAAACAGCTCTTCTCGACTTCGAACATTTGACACTTTGACAGAATCGAAAATTTTCTCGACGCTGGATTTGGCTAGTGGCTAGCCAAGGTGGCACCAGAAGACAAAGAGATGACCTTATTTACCATTGGCATGAGATTATAGGAATTTACGGTGTCGCCAGGTGGTTTATGCAATGCAGTTGCACTTTCAAGAGACTGTTGTATTAAATGGACTCTATTTGTAGACTGACTTGACATACCTGAACGATATATTTGTAATTCGGAAGTTATATGAGATTCTTGAAAGAGGTATCTCAACGTTTGAAAAGCTCGGAATTGAAATTGAGTCTTAAGAGTGCCGAAAACAAGCACGATCAAGGTCAAGTGGTAAGATGATCCAGAAGCTACAAGAGTTCGATTTTAATATAAAATATCGAGCAGACAATGTCGTGTTTGGGGAACTCGAACGAGGAACTCCCCATAACTTGTACAATACTCTAAATTCTAAATCAAAAGTAGTGGATGAATTGAAAACCTGCTTCCATGTTTATATAGTCTAGCTA